AGCCAGGGAGATAGCTCCACAGACTAAGCGCCTGCTTAGGCAAGCACAGGGACTAGGCTTGTATCCCTGGTCTTACATGCCGCATCAGCTCTGCCCCAGGGGTGCGCTGAGCCTGAAACTGAGTCCGGATGTGGTAGTGCATGCCTGTAATCCCAGTGCTGGGGAGGCTGAAAACAGGAGGATCACTAGGAGTCTGAACTGTGTAGTGAGACCCTGAACCAAATACATAAATGAAAAAAAAAATTATAAGGTCACCTCAGATTCAAGAAGTAGAGAAGTATTTCTACCTACTGATGGCAGGGAACAGGTACCATTACAAAGTATTTTCATAAGTGCTATAAAAAGGAAACAACCTAACTGTTCAACTCATGAATGTTGAAGACCATTCTATATAATTTTGGAGGGAAAAATCATTTCATTACTAAATTGTAATTAAAGCTTGCTTGAGGCCTAGTGCCTTGCCATGCAGGCCAGCTATGTTAAGTAGGAACATAGTGCCACATACCTGCGATCATAGTTGAGGTCTCAGTGATCCTACACTGCTTTATGCTCCAGGGCAAAATTGCATCAGCTGAAGACGTCCTGGTTCCTCTCACTGTGCTCAGTAGCCTCATCAGCAAAAGGTCACCCTCACCATCTGAGTCCTCTGATAATCCCTCTGAGTACTGTGCATACCCAGTAATGGTAGCTGACCCAGAGTGTCATTGTCTTTTATCCAGCCTGTGGCCGTGACTTCCAAGTGCCCCAATCTCCCCACCCCTATACTTTTTTTCTTTTTCTTTTCTTGTGGTACTGGGGATTGAACATAGGACCTTGTGTTTGCCATGCAGGCACTTATTCTACTGAACTATCACCCAGTGCCACTTGTTTCTTTTTCCTTCACCTTATCCCTCGCCATCCCCCTCAGCCCCATAGATGAACAGATAGAGACGATCCGTCCATACAATGAGTGTCACTTACCAATAAAAAGCAGCCAAGTACTGATACATGCTCCAACACAGGTGAAACTTGAAAACAACCCGCCCGGTAAGTAAAGGAGCCTAATCACAAATGATGACGTTAAGAAAAAAAGATGATGTATTAAAAAATTCCATTTATATGAAATATCCAAAAAGACATAAATCCATAGAGACAGAAAGTCGATTATAGAGTTTTTCAAGGTCTGAGGTAAGGAAAATGAGTTTTAAGAGTGATGAAAATATTGCAAGATTAGATAGTAGTAATGGGTATACAGCTGTGAGTACACTGAACTGTACATTTTAGAAGGCTTAATCTATGATATATGAATTACATCTCAATGAGAGCATTATTTAAAAAGGAGAAAAGTGAAAAAAGTTCACTGCAAAACAAATCTACTGGGGCTGGTGAGACGGCTCAGTGGTCTAAAGCACCTACTTAGAACAAGCTAAGC